ATAAGTACATCTTTCTCTTCCCAATCATGTTATTTGCACTTATTCATCTATATCCCTTCCTGCTCCTTACCATCTTCTGTGGATGCAAATTGGTGCCTGACTTCCACAGTTATAAATGGTATCTCTGGTCATTTATAACAAATTTCCATTGCATCTTTAGCAAAACTTTTGGGATTGATTATAGACTAACTGCCATCTGCCCCAAAACAGATGCCGGAGCTCTCAAGGATAATGTTGCAAGATACTTTGAGGACAAAATGATCCACTGTCATGCTGACTTGAGTGTTGCTTTTGATAATGTCTATTGAGTGGTGCAATGCACCATTTGCTCCTATTGAGTGAGATTTTTTTTTAAAAAATTAAATCTGAAGATGAAGACAAGATCTTTGTTCATCTTGCTGAATTGTACACGTTGAGGAAAGTGGGACTGGGTGTGTTTGTATTTTAAAGTTATTCCAGCAGTCAAAAGAGTAGGTAATATGATTGAGAGTCCATTCAGTTGCCCAGAGTTCACTCTGAAACAAGGGAATACAGGGTCATACAAAGAAAAAAAAGAATATTCTTTTTGAATAAGGCAAATGATTGAGTTGGGTCTTTGACTACAGACATTCGACGAGGGGGGGGAGGTCCGAGGAGATACACTTAAAATTGAGGCAGGTGGAATTTGGACCTTCATGGAGCTTAACTCTAGGCCAAAGTTTCCCAATTGTGTTATAAAATGATGATGTGAATGTATGCCTTCAAAACAATACTGACTCATGGTGGCTGCCTGAAACTTGCAGATTTTTGCTTCTAAGAGCTGAGAAAGTTTGACTGGCCCAAGGTCACCCAGTTGGCTTTGTGTCTAAGGCAGACTAGAACTCACAGTCTCCCTAGAATCTAGCCTGATGTCTTAACCATTATACCAAACTGGCTCTTAAAATGACATTATCTTCATGCTTTTCAGTCTAGATTTAGCCCTGGAATCACTGTGGACATCTAAATGAATGACTGAGAAGTGTGGTTCTGCTGATTATGCTTTATATTTCAGTACTTCTTGAGTTAGCCAATCTTTATTTTAACCGTTGACCATTATAAAATAACATTAGTTGTTGATTATTTATAACCAACCTAATATTAACAGTTTAGCCTATAAGCAATGATAAATAACTACCATTTATAATTATTAACATAAAAATAAAAACATATCATTAGAAAAGTAAAATGAAGATTATGGAAACCACAGTTTAATACAGTGAAGTATCAAAATGTGTGATACAAATTTTAATCTATTAAAAATTATGGAAAAATAGCTGACAAATCAATATAAAGTCACTAATCCTAAAATCTATGTATACTCTATAGTTTGGTATTAATGTTATTGCATAAAAAGCAATAGCAGTACAAACTATAAAGCTAAACAACTAGAAATAAATCAGCACAAATACAAATGTAAAGGGATAATTTTTGTTCGGTCCAATAGCCCTAATGGCTATGAATGACTAAATGAATTATTGTACTCATGGACTGTAACATAAACCAAATAACTCCCTAAAATTACAATCACTAATCACTGCTGACCATTTGAGGGGGAGGTTTGCACCCAACGTAGCAGAATTTTACAACATTTAAATAATAAAATTATCTTTGTCATCTAGCAAATTGTGCGAAGAAAGACTTTTAATATCTTTGACAATAGCATGAATAGCATGAATGCAGAACCAGGAACACTGAGTTATTATGACTTTACAGCATAATTCAATGGTTCTACTCCCATTCAAAAGTTTCAGAAAGTAGCACTAGGTGCGTGTATTTCTACACCCTATTTTGTCTCCAGGGCTATTTAACCCCCACATAAAGTCTTTGGGTTTAGTTCCTATGCATTTAAAACAAAATATCATCACTCTATGGATGACATTCATCTTTATCTTTCCATGACATGGAACATGTGCATATTTGCATGTCTGGATACAATGCTAGATTGGTGAGAGCCAGTAAATTGACTTGAATCCTAGCATGTTACAACTCACATGGAGTTGTGGCTCTTAGGTATAGGAACTGATGCGTTCTCCTAATGCAAATCTGTATGCCTAGAAACTATAGAGGTAGTTCTTGACTTACAACCAGTCCTTCAATTTACAAGCATTAGAGCATCCTCAGGATCACGTGATCAAAATCCAGCAGATGCCTGAAGTCCTCAGGCATCTGAAGATGAACATTTTGTGCCCATTAAGAAAGATCTGGCCAATCTATTCATAAACAAAACACCTTCTGATGGGATTAAGAATTTACATTCCCCCACCCAAATTCTAAGAACAGAACATGACCTTTAGGACATAATAGAATTTACCCACCACCATTAGAAATACACAAGCTCACTACATTGCATAACCCCCTGAAGCACCTCAAACATGAAATCCCAGAAACCTATCAAGATCCATCCACTCATTCAGCCATTTTGTCAGCCACTCCAGAAACATGCTTCTGTCACTGAAGTTTCTGGAATCCAAATAAACAGAGTCCTTCCCAAAGGAGGCGACTGGACTTTCTTTTCTTTTTTTCTTTGAAGACATTTCCCTTCTCATCCAAGAAGCTTCTTCAGCTCTGACTGGATGGTGGGGAATGGATGGATTTATATTCCTTGCAGACAGCTGGTCATTTGGATCCTTTTAGAGAATCATTGAGGTACTTGGAGGTTTATCTGTATTCTCAGGGACATCTGAGTAGTGCTGATAGTTCCTGTAGTCCGCCATTTTTTTTCTCTAGAAATCTGTTCATACTCCCACACCATTCGAAGGTGTTCATCCCAAATTGATAGTTAAACGTCTGTAGATATTCTCAGTCATCCAGGTCATGGTTGTCCCAAAGGTGCTTTTTCAGGAGGCAACTGTACTTTCTTGTTTTTTCTTTGAAGATGTTTCGCTTCTCATCCAAGAAGTTTCTTCAGCTCTGACTGGATGGCGAGGAATGGAAGGATTTATATGACCAGCTGCCTGCAAGGAATATAAATCTTCCTATTCCTTGCCATCCAGTCAGAGCTGAAGAATCTTCTTAGAGGAGAGGTGAAACGTTTTCAAAGGAAAAACATGAATATTCAGTTGCCTCCTGAAACCGCACCTTTGCAACAACTATGACCTGGATGAATGAGAATCTCCATAGACTTTAAACAGAGTCCTTCTTTCCAATTACCCTCCATTTTATTTCTAGTGTCTTTTTCCCAGCTTGGAACCAGACTGGATTTTTCTTCCAACATAACCTTCCCAGTTGCCTTCCAACAAGCAAAGTCTGTTCGGAAATCTTGATTTGTTTAATGACTTCCTGATTTACTTAAAGACTGCGGTGATTTGCTTCACATTAGCAAAAGGTCATAAAATTGGGTATGAGTCAGAGATGGGTTCCACTTATCTTTATTACCAGTTCGTAATGGGAGTGCGTGCTCGCTCGCTTCTGTGCATGCTCAGATCATCCATGATGATGTCTGGGCGGGTGGACGGAACCTCCCACCACCATTACTACCGGTTTGCAAGGACTGGACCGAACCGGGAGCAACCCACCACTGGTATGAATCACTTAACAAGCACCTTGCTTTAACAATGGGAATTCAATGGTCTTAACTGAGATCATTAGCAGAGGCCTACCTGTATTATAAAACCACAATATCAACAAAGTATCAAGATTTTACTCAGAAAACACCAGCTTGGATTTGGGAACAGAATGATTCCTTCCATTCATCAAAGGCTTTTGATATCAAAAAGGATCCTCAAATGAAAGGAAGGCAATTTTTATTTTCATCCCTTGTTGCTGAATTTTTAAAAGGTGAAGATTTTTAAGAGCTGACTCTGGCCCAGAATAGATACGTGCAACCTGCTTTTATGGCAATCTATTCCCTCAGTTGTGATATGTATTCATGTGAGTTCTTTTCTCCCTTAAAAGGAAAAAACAAACAAACAACCCAGACAAGCTTACAAGGTGTAACTTTAAATTAAAGAATAACAGAAGGAAACTATTTAGTTCTTTCACCCTTTTCATCACACTTTTGAAATAGATACACAGACAGACACATACACATATAATATAAGAAAATTCCATGTTTAGGATCAGTCCTATATTAAATTGATAGCACCTGCTTTTGGTTTCGATTTTTGACCTTTAAAATACATTGGGGAATTTTAGTTTTGGTAACACATTGTTCTCTAAGGTCCTTTTATGTGGGCTATTTACACAAATAGACTTGGTCTATATTTTTAATTACCAATTTTATGGAAATCCAGGCATTTTTGACAACAAAGTGTTCCTTTATTTAGAGAGAGAGAGAGAGAGAGAGAGAGAGAGAGAGAGAGAGAGAGGCTTTGTCCATTCCTTGATACAATTGTAAGCCTTGTCCCATATGGACCAGGCCATCTGGACTAAAAGCAATCAGGATAGACACTGAATTGTGAACTACAACTGTTGCGCAGAAGGCTAGCAATCTCAAAAATTGGTTTCTCTAAAAGTGCTTAACGCGTTGCTATGTAAAGAACAAGATGCTAGCCTCTGATAATAGTGCTTCCCGCAAGCTGCTGTAATGTATGCAAAAGCTTGACGAGTTTTTAAAGAACAAATCTTTTAAACAGTAGACACACAAGTACACACACACCCATGCAATTAAAGCACAGAAAACAAGACATCACATTTTATTCTTTTTATCAAGAAGTTTTTCAGACTGCAGGTCCCCCAGGATTTTTCCTTTATTACTGAGTCTGAAATCAATGAGGCTTCTTTAGTTCAAATATTCATGTTATAATTTCGACCATTGATTTAGCAAAGGACTTTGAGGGGTGAGGGGGGAAACCTTTGCATTTATATTCAGATGCTTTTAGAACTTTCCTCAATTTTAGTTTCCTAAACAGGTTTCTAGCATGAAGTATCAATACATCAATATCTGCTATATGTTGGCTTCAGAGTTTCATTCATTTTGTCCCCTTGGTTAGGCTTATTCTATTTAACATTTTCTATTAAAAATAATGCAGCATACAAATTGCTTTTCAATCCTTGAATAATTTATCTTCAAAGCACCACAAGTAGGCATGAGAGACAGGGCTGTTCGTGATTTCAAAGTGTATTGTTTTTTCTCTTGATGGCTGTGGTGGAATCATTATATCTAGAGTCACTATTTGCTGTTCAGCTGCAAAAACCACACAAAACCACACAATCGTAGAATCTGTAGAAAGTCAAGATGATGGGGAAATTATGATACATATGTGATGATATCTCCTTTCACGCTTGTATCTTATATTACATACAATTTACATTATTTGTTCTCTCCTTGTCCCCTTCCACATACAACTCTCCATCCAAACTTTCCCAAACCCTTGAAATAGAAGACAGAGACATTAAGAGGTTGCTGATATATCTACATAGATGATGGAAACACTGCTACTGAGCATTTATAGAGATGAGGTTACTAACCTAAGACCATTGCATTTATCTCAAAGTTGAGCAAGGATCCTACCTAGTTTCTTCCAAGTAACAACCAGTGCATCATCCAAGCCTCTTTAGATGATTCTTGCTGGGAATATCAGTGTGTCTGTTATTACACATGAACAAGTGTGATTGAAGGAAATGAAAGTAGACAGCTTGGCACGACTGTTTCTAATGCAAAGTTACACAGTGCCATTTCACACCTTCCCATTGCAGATCAACTTTTTGAGAAAATTTGAGAACATATGATTAAGTTTGCAACAGGAGTAAGGAGAAAGATTGTAAAGAGAACTTCAGCTAAATACTCTTCACCAGAGTGCCTTGATAATAATCTGGCAAGGGAAACTCTGTTCTGATTAGTTTAATTAAGTGTGAAATGTGATACATTTATATCATGCACATATGTGTAACCAAAAGAATACAGCTCAACGGAGAAAAGACCTTTTGATAAAACTGTGGTGATTAAACAAATATTTAAATATATGGTTTAAACATTCTCAAAACAAACATTTTTAGATTTTAATGAAGAGGTTTATAATATAGGAGTTTTAATACAGTATTTCTAGACTTCTCCTGTGACTTCATAGATCAACAGCAATCTAAATATTATTTCAAGAGACTGTGATTCAAGTAAATATGAGGGTTTTTTAAAATACTGTGTGTAAATTATGTCATAATTTACAGCAACTTTATGATCAGCCAGCATTCACTGTTGACATAATAGGAAGAAAAAAATATATGTGGCCAATAGTTTCTCTAAGAAAGTCTTATTTTGACTCAAACCAAATCAAACTTCTAAATATGTGTTTATGATATAGATAAAATAAATATTAATCATGATGTAAAACATACGTTTAGTTTGTAAAAGATAACATCTAGTATTTTATGTGTAACTTTTAATGATACAATAAATACTTCCCTTCCTCATTCTCCCCCCACAATCTTATATGACTTCCCAAATTTGATTAAGTGATATTTTTCAGGGGGCAGAAGATGCTACTTATTTTTCACCAATTACGGTGATTAAAAAGTTAAACTCAGAGACTAGTTATTTATAAAGAGACTGATAGCAATAGTACTTAGATTTATATACTGCTTCACAGTGCTTTACAGCCCTCTGTTAGCCCTCCCTAAGCAGTTTACAAAGTCAGCATATTGCCCCCAACAATCTGGGTCCTCATTTTACTGACTTCGGAAGGATGGAAGGCTAAATCAACCCTGAGCTGGTGAGATTGGAACTGCCAAATTGCAGGTAGCCAGCAGTCAGCAGAAATAGCCTGCGGTACTGCATTCTAACCAGGGTGCCGCCATGGCTCTGATGTTATTAAATACATAGCAGAGTGCATTGTTTGACTGATTGATATTAGAAGTACTATCATGATATTTTTATTTTTTATTAAATTTTGATTTTATGACATAAAATCCTAACTGCAAGGATATAGTACCATTATTTGTTGCTATATGACATCTTCATCATAAAAAAACACCAACTGTCGTATTTTTATTTACATTTTTTGTATTTTGATTTTATGATATAAAATCCTAACTGCAAAGAGGTAATATCATTATCTGTTAAAGCATGCAGTATATCTTCATAAGAAAACACAAACTTTGGAATACAGTATCATAATCTATGCGCCTTGGAAGCTTATAATTGGTTGTTATTTTAACCAATTGTATTCATCCTGAAAAGGACTAATTTTTGGGAAATGTCTCTATACAAGAAATTTGATTCCACCGTGCTAGGAGACCTTCGCCTTTCAGTGCTGATTCCAATTGTGATTAATTCTCATGAGTACCCACTATGTAAAATTGCGTAAATGGCTAACTTTTGACATTTCTTAGAAACTTACTGCCAGATAATTTTCTGGCTGCATAGAATTTCTCCATGGCAAAATAGAAGCTTACAGGGAATTACTATCAATGCAAAAGAATGATATTTCTGCTGTTTTTTTTTTTAAAAACCTATTTGGTAATCTCTGAGTTATTACACATATAGATTTCCAATAAAATAATAGGTTACAAGCAAAGGAGAGTAAAATAATCAGCAAAACAGTCCTACATAAACCTCACTGAATCACCTACATTCATTGTAATTGCTTCTTCAGGTTGTAAGAGACAAAAGCCTTTTTTAAATATAGAAGCTGCCATCGCAATCTGCTAAAAATGAAACTTTGTTCAAAATGAGCAGTTATAGAATTGCTTATTGCAGGTCAAATATATCATAGTCATTGTGTCATGAAGAAATTCAAGCATCCTGGTTTTCTCTCCACTGGCCATAATTGCCGTACTTCAATGTTACTCAAATCCCATTAGACATGAAGTATTCTGGGGAAGAATGTCTGTGGAGATTCTCAGTCATCTAGGTCATAATTGCCTCAAAGGTGCTTTTTCCTTCCAAAGGTAACTGGACTATTATTTCTCCTTGAGGAAGAAGAAAACATTTTGCTTCTCATCCAAGAAGCTTCATCAGTTCTGATGGGGGAGGGGGAATGGAAGGTTAGGTGCTGACAATTGAGACTGGATGGTGGGGAATAGAAGAATAGGTTCTGATAGGATGGTGGGATGAGTGGGAAGGATTGTGTTTCTTTGCAGTCATCTTTGCAGGTAGTTAGCACTCTATGAGAGCTGTTGAGGCCACTGGGGGGGGTATCTGTGCTCTCAGGGTCACCTGAATCAGGGTGCAATTGGTTGTGGAATCTTCTTGGAATTGATGCAGGGGCTGAGTTCTAAATTAGAGATAAGGTAAAGGTTCCCCTCGCATATATGTGCTAGTCATTCCAGACTCTAGGGGGCGGTACTCATCTCCGTTTCAAGGCCGAAGAGCCAGCGCTGTTTGAAGATGTCTCCATGGTCATGTGGCCGGCATGACTAAACACCAAAGGTGCACGGAACACTGTTACCTTCCCACCAAAGATAGTCCCTATTTTTCTACTTGCATTTTTTACGTGCTTTTGAATTGCTAGGTTGGCAGAAGCTGGGACACCCTGTTATGTGGCGCTAGGGATTCGAACCGCTGAACTGCCGACCTTTCGATCAACAAGCTTAGCATCTTAGCCACTGAGCCACTGCATCCCTTGCAAATTAGAGATAGGTGGTGTCTTATTCTTCAGTTAAGGGAGGGGTGTTCAATTCTAACAGATGGATTCTTTTACCCCTGTTTTAAACCAATGGTCCTGTCTATCCAAAATGTAGACTTAGCTGTCTTCAAAAGTGTGGCCTTTGTCTTTCAAATGCAGATAGATAGCTGAATATTGTCCTGATGGGTTTGATCTCCTATGTTGTGCCTGTGCTTGTGAAGGACAATCCCCCAAAAATGTCAGGAAAAAGAGTTGCTGAAATGAGGAGGAACAGGAGTTTTTTTCCCCTGCCAACTAGACTTAAAACAATTTCCTGGATAGATCCCAATACTAGACAATGCTGATCTGATTAAAACTACCACTCTGCTATTACAGTATATTTATGAAAGGAACCATTAAATTTAGAATTGGGCCAAATTCTGAAATGTTATCATTCCTCCTGAAGGCCCAATAATTCACTGAGTTTCCTCAATGACTGTCTTATTTTTGTCTCTAATAAACAATCTTTTGTTGGAATGATGTTTCTCTGAATGCCCTTGTGGTTTCACCACTTAGATACATCTCTTGTTTTCACAATCCTCAGCTGCATTCTGAGCACATCTGTCAAATGATTGCACTCTTTATTTGATCTCAGCAGATGGCAGCACTTGGTTGGATTCTATCTGGGATAAAAACTAAGCAGGGTCAAACCTAGTTAGCACTTGAGTGGCAAAGTACTAAGGAATACTAGGACTCAACGTGAGATTATTTTGATCTAATTAGCTTTTATCTGAAACTATCACCTGAAAACATGTCATATCTGTTATTGTTATTGATGATGATGTTTATTATGATTTCCAACTGCTCCAAAACAATTTTGGGTGATTCACAACATCAGCAGGAAGCAAAATTAAACTACATTCCATATAAACCATAATACCAAAATATTCTCATCACTGTTTGCACACTTACATTACAGTTAGAGCTCTGTGCTTTGGGTCAAAAGATAGAATTGGGTATTTATCAGTATATCGATAATACCAAACTTCAAACCAATGAATAACCTTACTCAATAGTTTCATGTGGGTGTTAAACAGGAAGAGAGTGAGGGTAACTCGCCATGACATGAAGGAACAAAGAGAACCACTTTAAAACAGTGCCCCCTGTTCCCACCCCCGAAGGCTGTTAAGAAGGATCAATGAGTCATTAGGAGCTCAAGAAACACCAGGATGGATATACCATCCGATCCTGACTTCATCAAAAATCAATGACAAATGTGACCAATGATATTTATGGACTGAACCCAGCCTGAGACGTAAGTGCAATGGGTCAAGATAATGCCAATATAGAGACGTAATACCATCCATTTTGGTAGCCAAGAATAAAATCATTTGTGGGTTCAAAATGACCTTTCCATTTGGGCAACAATTCAACATCGCTTTCCTGCATCTTTGGAGGTGAACATCTGCAAGGAGCAGGATCCTCAGAATGACCTTTTCTATTGCTCTTGTTAATAGCATGAATCATTCCGTGGTAGGCAATTGTTTAGATAAACAGTTTGTAAGTCTTTTTGCACCTTCTCTCTTAGAAGACTAAGAAAGAAAAAGAGTAGACCAACATGGACAATATTTATCTTTAATTTCCTTAGACCACAATAAAAAGTATAGATGGACCCCAGTGGTGGGATTCAATTTTTTTTTACTACTGGTTCTGTGGGCATGGCTTGGTGTGTGTGGCTTGGTGGGCACGGCTTGGTGGGTGTGGCAGGAGAAGGATACTGCAAAATCCCCATTTCCTCCTGATCAGCTGAGACTTGGGAGGCAGAGAATAGATGGAGGTAGGGCCAGTCAGAAGTGGTATTTACCAGTTCTCTGAACTACTCAAAATTTCCGCTACCGGTTCTCCAGAACTGGTCAGAACTTGCTGAATGGGCCTTTGAACTACCTCTGATGGGTCCTTACTTGGTTCCCTCTGAAGAGAATTATGAAACTGATAAAAACCCTTGTCAAATTCATGTCTATATCAAAAATATGCTGTTGGGTTTTTTCACCTTTTTGAAGAGCCTTTGCATATACCTTCCTAACAACTCGTGAGTTTGAGGTTCTCGAAGAAAAATGCTAATGTAACCACTTTGCAGCCCTCTCACTAGCCTAGACATAAATGATTAGATGTGAAATTGACAAGGGTTTTGTCTGATTTAGTGAGTGGGCTGCAAAGCAGTTCAATTATCATTTTTCTTTCCAGAGTCTGAAATTCAGGAGTTGTGAGGAGGTATATGGCAAAGTTCTCCCAAAAGGAGAAAAAGAGCAACAGCATATTTTTGATACACACAAATACACACAGAGAGAGAGAGAGAGAAAGAAAATGAGTTTTGCAGGAGTTTCAGCTACTTTGCATCTGAGCTGGAAATAAATTAGTTCAGCTCACCCACACAACAAACATCAGGACAATACAGAGGTCACAATTCTTTTCAAGCTAGTATCAAATCTGCTTGTGGAAGTGCCCTTAGTTATAAACTCTGAATAATCAGCTACAAAAAAAAAAGTATGCCTAGATACAGCAAAGCATTTCAGATTTTATTTTAACAGGTACTGAATCTATTGTTTATCATAAAATGAATATAAAATGGTTCAGATTTGAGGACATCTGAGAGCCGCTCTTGATTTAGAAGTGGCTGTATATGTGTTGATTATTGTGCAATAAAAGGAAAGCTATAGATTGTTTTTCTGAAAGCTCTTTTTCCTACAGTGACAATCAAATCCAGTCCCTCTTAATGGATTTTCTTCCACAGAGATGCCTCTGTTCTCGAGCAGTGGACATGAAGTAATGAAACTCCATTATGTGGCTTCTTAAAGGAAAAGTCAACCAAAGGGGATTGGAAAAATCATTTCTGATCCTTTGGGTCCATACACTAAGCCTGCTACAGAATTATTATTGATTCTGGTGCCTTTGCAGCAACTTTCATGATTCCTATTTCTGTATCTTTCTGGAGAGATACTTTCTGTCAGCGCTATAGCGCATTTCTCTCAAAGGCACAGGTAAGGCAAATTCTCTGACACTGAATAAAACAGTAGTGTTAAGACAATTCCGCAAGAAACGCAAAAGAGTAAACCCTTCAGCAAAATTTATTCAAGATGTAACATTAATTATCTACACATATATCACTGCTTGGTGGCCTTTGAGATTCTGAGATTCATTCAGGTAGCGAATGGAATTGTTGTCTGTATTGCTTCTTTATTATATACCCCTGTAATTTTAGGGATATTTTTTTTTTAAAAAAATTGATTTATATGCTGCCCTTCTCCAGAGAGGGATGTCAGGACGGCTTACAATGCGTTAAACAATAGCCTTCATACTTTTGTATATTTATACAAAGTCAGCTTATTGCCCCCACAAACTGGGTCCTCAATTTACCTACCTTAGAAAGGATGGAAGGCTGAGTCAACCTTGAGCCTGGTGAGATTCGAATTTACAGTAATTGCAGACAGCTGGTGTTAATCACAATGCTATCAGTCTGCTGAGCCACCAGGCCCTTACCAATACAGAAAAAAATTGATCCAATGATCTCATTTTTTAATTCACACATGCAAATTGTTTCAATTGTGAATAGGTAACGGAAAGTAAATTGAACACAGTATGCATATTATTTCTTAAAGAAGCTTTTTTAAGGAGAACAAGTGATCAATTTTAATACAACAGTTATATTTTAGAAACTTCAAACAGTAAATATCAGGGGTGTCAAACTCGTGCTGATGTATTGTCACATGACATGTCACAACTTTTTTCCCCCTTTGCTAAAATGGGGGGTGGGCTTGGCCAACGTGTGACGCATCTGGCCCACAGGCCACAAGTTTGACACCCCTGCTCAATATGATAGAGTGGTTAAGGGCTTGACTAGGATGCTGGATGTTCAAATCCCTCTCTCAATAATGGAAATTCACTAAGTGAATTGGAAACAATCCTTCTCAGCCTAACCTCAGAATCATTTTAGGTTGCCATGTGGTCATAGAGTAGAAAAAGGATAATAATATTAATGACAACAATTATATTAATAAATAAGTAAACAAAAAGAAAGGTAATTCCAAAATCTCAGGAATAATTCAATAACTTAAAACCAAGAAGTGCTTTCCTTTCTCCCTTGAGGGTGGAGACAGAAGCCAGACGTGGGTTGTGCTCATTGGTCAGAGGATGGACTGAGCCTGGAATTCTTTTAAATCCGCCCCCTGTTGCTAGGGCTCC